AAAAAAAAGCCAGCGAAATTACAAAACTAACCTCAACAAAATACAAGACGCCGAATGTGTAAGCGCGGACCGTGTCAATACGCTTGACTCGAGGGTGCCTTATTACAAGATACGTCAATTTTTGCAGTATTTCGGGAGGAGCCGATTGTCCCACCAATGACTCTAAATCCAAAGAGGAAAAAGTTAAGGCAAGATTAAAGTCACATCGTCTCAAATTCAGGTGTAAATGAAAATCGAGCTACTTGACCTCTGATAAGTAATACTCCCTCCTATTCATAATAAGTGTCGTTTTAAGAAGTTGCACAGTAATTAAGAATCTTTTTTTGCAAATAATAACCCTCTTCAATGAAGATAGAGATGGATGTTTTGGGAAAAAATGAAGAGTGAATATGAAAAGGCGCAGTGTATTTATTAGCTAAATGAGGGTAATAATGGAAAAATATGTACAAAAGATCCAAAACGTCATTTATTTGGTTAATAGTTCATAAAGCCAAAATGACATATAAAAAGACTAGGAGGTAGTAACACTTACCTAAGAGTGCAACTCAGAAAAGCAGGACCAAACATCAAGAAAGTATTTGGAATTTAGTAAGGTAGTTAGAGCTGTTAATATTAAGACAAAATTAAAAAAATAAAAAAAAATGGAATCTTCTATTTGCATTGGTTACATAACCCATAACAATATTACTCCAAGGTTACATAAAACTAACAGCCTCTCTGTAGGTGTTGAATTCAAGCTAACCTGCATTTTCTAGAACTGTTCTAGACCAATTCAAAATCGTATAAATTGCTAGGATGATGGCACCAGCTGGATCAACCCACCAGAAGAACTTATCACCAAGGATGGCTGCCACCAATCCTACTACATTTGTTACCACATCAAAATAATGGTCCTGCCAAANNNCAAAAAAAAAAAAAAAAAAATGAATTTAGGCAAGTACGAGACTTTTGTAAAACAAGTTTCACGATGAATATATACCTTGGCATAGGCACGGACTATTTTGTTTCCCGAACTCTTGCAGTAAATCCACAAGCCAAGTTTTACCACTGAAGCAGAAAGCATAATTGAGAATAACCATACCAATTGATTATAAGTCAATTTTTCAGTTTGTTTGTCTTCGATTAATTGCTCTACAGCCTGGACCAGAACCTGGAACCCTACAAGTGAATGAGTGATAACTATGTTAGTATGGTAAAAGGATAACCGTTTTGTTTTTCTAATCAGAGCAAGAAAAGTATCCACAATTTTAGCTGGCTACTTGAGAAATGGAACATTAGAATAGACAAAAAGATCACTTTGAAGTTTTAAACTCATCCGCAACTTAAATGAAGAGGTGATGAAAACACTCGAGCAGAGGTCGAAAATGTTTCAAGGGAAGTTCAGCTATTATAAAGCAAAGTGAAATATATACATACCAAGAGTGGCCATTATAGCAGCAAAGACAATAATCCCAACTGGCTGCACCCTCAACTTTCCGATTGGATATTTGTAGATGTTAACATTTTTCATCGAGAGGTGGGTAAACCAAAGTATGCCCCCAGCCATTAGATCAAGCAATGAATCAAGGGTCGATGCAGCAATGGCTAGTGATCCACTCTTTACCGTGGCAAAGATCTTAAAACACGAACAAAAAAATTGCATGTAAATGGAATATCGTGTCAAATCCATAAATGGAATGGATTATATTCAAGAAAGTGTTCAAGAAAGAAAGGCCCCATGCAACTTGTTCACAATTTTCCTGTAAATTACCAAATGATAATAGGGAAGATCACAAAACACTTGGTGTGTAACCTAATCACCATTCACCAGAAAACCCAGCTTGCTTTAAAAATTATGGAATTCAAAAAATATACAACACTGGAGTTCAAGGGGATTACCATAACAATTGTATAAACGTAAAGGGTTTTTCTGAAATATAATTTGCTTACGAGTGTATTCTTGTAATAAGCTGGGGTTTTCTTTAATAATCGGTCAAAGGTATTGCTTTTTTTTT